GAGAGAGAGAGAGAACATCAATGGGATCATGTCTGGGTCTGGTGGTTGCATTCTCTGTCCATCATCGTCATTTTAATCGACGGTGATGATCCAAGGGACTTTTTTCTTCCCAGATTCCCGTCATAGTATGCTCTCTCTTGGTATATTAGATCAGTGAATAGTATCCTATTTTCTTTTGAGTATGAGCAAAATCACAGTCTGAGCTTCCTATTCTGGGCGTGTATTTATTGCAGGATCAGTTGCGTGCTCTTGACATGATCCAAAGCGATCCTGAACTCATGGGCTTGAAATTAATTCAAGCTCCGCTCGTTGATGTCGAGATCAGAGGTGTTCCAGCGCTGAGATTTATGGGTGACATTGTTTGGCAATAATTTATACATCAAGATGAGTGATCCATGAGGTAAACTATACGTTTCCTCTATTATCAATCCTTTAGAGCGTCAAAATTTGTATAGCATAGCTGACTATTTTTAACTGTGTCTGCATTCACTCCATGCAGTTTGACATGCAAATTGTGTGTGTGTTCGATGTGGTTTGGTTATCAAAAGTATACATAAGATTATTAGGCGAAACGCATCTTGAAGCGCGGTGTCATCTTCACATTAACTGATGATAATTGAAAGAAAAGAAAAAAAATTTGAAAAGTTTGCTTACTAGTCTATATAACTAGAGTAAATATTGGGGACTGGTTAAACGATAACAATGGAACATTAAGGGTCTGTTTGACAAAACAGAATTAGAATATTCAAATTTTTGAAAATCCAAATAAAGGCATGGGATTTTTTTATATATCTAAATTATATATTATCTTGATATGTTTTTTTGTGTGCATGTTTGACTATCTACCTGTATTTTAGACTTTTCCTGATATGTATCAGAGAGTTTGATGTGTATAAGGACTCCTTTCCTCTCTCTCTCTCTCTATCTCTCTAACTCTCATTATAATCACTTTTCCTCTAAGATATGCTTCTCCTCAAAGTCCACTTCCAAAGCGTCTCTGTTTCACTTTTCAGGAATTGGGTCGTGGCATGGGTCTTTTCTTCACCCCCATTCCCACCTCTGCAATTGAGTCTTCCTGTAAATACCAATCTTAACTTGACTCGAGTTCTTCCTGTGGGGTCATAATCTGTTTTTTTTCTTCTCTTTCATGAAATTGGGTTTTTTTTGTTTTCCTCATAGAGAAAATGGCCTTAAAGCTTGAATTCTTTGAAATTAAGTTTTTCGGAGTTTTGGGGCGAGAGGCAATGGATCAAAAAGAGAGAAAGTGCAGGTTGATTGGGGATTATATACTTGGGCCAAAGATAAGTAAGGGGTCGTTCTCTGAGGTGTGGCTTGCGAGGCATAGATACAAGGGATGGTTGGTGGCAGTAAAGGAGATTGACAGGAAAACGTTTGCTAACAAACTGAGCGAGAACCTTCTTAAGGAGATTTCAATACTCAGACAAATCCATCACCCTAACATAATTCGACTTCATGAAACAATTGTGCTTGAATACAAAATATTCCTTGTAATGGAGTATTGTATTGGGGGTGATCTTGCTGCATACATTCAACGCCATGGAAGAGTTGCAGAGGACAAGGCTCGGCACTTTATGAGGCATTTAGCTTTAGAATTACAAGTTCTTCGTGCAAACAATCTCATCCGTAGAGATTTAAAACCACAGAATCTTTTGTTGTCATCAAATAATGAAAACCCAATGCTAAAGATTGGAGATTTTGGTTTCGCCAGGCATCTGCATCCTCAAGGACTGGCAGAAACAGTGTGTGGTTCTTCGCTATATATGGCTGTCGAGTGTTGACAAGGAAACCACCATTTGATGGAAATAATCAATTTCTGCTTTTTCAGAACATATTGAAGTCTACTGATTTCAGTTTCCACCAGATGTTATTAGGGAACTACATCCTGATTGCATTGATATGTGTAGAAAGCCTTTTACATCGTAATCCAGTTGAGTGATTAACATTCGAGGAGTTCTTCAATCACAAATTATTGGCTCTTAGGCCATTGCAGGTTCTCCAGCATCGGGCACCAGTAACAGAAGACATGCTTCCAGTTACACGAAGGAAAAAATTAATATGAAGGAAGAGAGGGAAATTTCTTAGCGCGAGGGAAGAAACTGAATACGTGCAGAATTTTCACGGAAAAATGCTAACCCACAAGTTAACGCTTTTCACCATTTTCTAAAATTCAACTCCAACCTATTTTTTTGGGGATCCTGATATTGGGGCGTTATTCTTTTGAGAAAGTTAACCTTGAATTAAAGAATGTGAGTACAAGAAGCTAGGCAAACCACAAGCTGATGCACTAGGGAGAAAGAAAGAGAAAGAAACAGAATCCTTCTTTTTGGGAGTTACAATCGAAGAGCAACCCAAAAAAAGACGCCGATCCAAAAAGTCATGCTAGTTTTCTGCCAAAGATGCCGCTGCTTTAGTGAGGTGTTGGTTTCCTGGTTTCCTTCTCTCCAGATATGCCTCCAAGAGATATGCAGATCTCATCGAAATACTGAGCCAGGAACCAGGGAGGTGGGGTGGAAGAGGGCATCTGCACCCATGAGATGACGTTCTTTGAATCCCCCTCAATACTAATAGAGAGGAAGGTTAGGGATTGAACTAGCTTGAGTCCTTCCAACAGTGCAACTGTTACAGCTTCCAAAGAATCAGCATGACCTAGAGGTTTCGAGATAGAGGCCACCGTTGTACCAAGGTGGTCCTTGACGATAGCACCTACTCCAGATGACCCAGGATTTCCGAGGGAGCAACCATCAAAGTTGAGCTTAAGATGTCCGAGTGTAGGAGGTCTCCACAAGGCTGCCTGAGGTAAACGCTTGTGGCTGTATGGAAGAAACAGCAGTCCAATTTTGGGCAAAGGCTGAGGTAGAGAACCCTTTGAATCAATGGTGACTGGACACCTAGAAAACCACCGTGGATTTGAACATGGCGAAGGTCTTGTTGTAGTCGTTGTTGTCTTTTATGTCAAAGTTATCAATTTTGTATACTTTTTTATGGGTGCGGTTTGTATAGAGCTGAGGCTCTAAACAATCAAAGTAAAGCCCACCTTCAAATGGTGCGAGAAATATGGTTTCAATATTGGAAATCTTTGTGATAGCCTCAAAATATATTTTCATCTTTAATTATGAAATTTAAAGCTTAAAAAATATTGTAGATCGAGCAGATCTATGAAAACTTAAAAATCTTGAAAATTGACGGTCCAAAAATGTGTTACAAGATGCACTATTTCCAAAACTTGAAATCAATTTTTTTCTCAAGTGCATGCATCTTGATATCGACATGATCAATTTGAGGATATTTGGGCATCAAAACAACCTCTTCTAGTGAAATTTTTGAGGTGGGCTCTAATTTGATTGTTTAGTGCCTCGGCTCTAAATAAATTTTTTCCCTTTTTTATAGTGGAGATCTCTCATCAAAATGGGTCATGAAGCATGTATGCCTTTCATTTTTGTCTCTAAATTACATGGTACTACAGTTGAGTGAAACCTAGAAATATCGTGCATTAGATATCAAGTGCATTTTCTATCAGTATGCTGTCTGTGGTGGATCTTGGGCATCATCTTCTATCTTGAAACACATATTGATTCGAGCTTTGTGTTATCTCCAGGTTCTATTTGTGGATGTGAACCATTCTCCTTTCTTCCTTTCACCATGTTCGGTGTGCCTTCCTGTCCTTCACTCAATATTCTCCACAGATATAGTCTTATTTTATCCAACTTCCTATGTATTTCTAGGATTTCTTTTAGTGAATATATATTTCTAGTGATATTCTGATTTCAATGGAAAATCTATCTGATTGTCCATTTTAGGCTCTTCTTTTCATGTTTCCAAATATCAGTTACCCTTTTGGACCCTATCCTGCTCCCTTCTGCCTCTGTTGTCTTGGAAGCTTTGATTGGCCTCTTTCTAATCTCTCTCATCTTTTGTTATCTTTTCTTCTTGGCACTGGTCGGCCCTATTTGGTTTAATTTTCTGTGTTTCCTTTCATTATTCATTTTTCTTCAGATAGAACCTTTCCTTGAGCTGCATGTTTATAGAATTCTCTTGTGCCTGAAATAATTTCTTTGATTCCACCTTATGGAGGTGATTGTTTGGAATCTGAATACTGAAGAACAATGCAAAACTTTTGGGAGTCAGAGAAGATTTGGAAGAGGAGACCCTTTTGAGCTCATGTGGGTTGTGTTAATTGGAAACAATATGAATCAGATAAAATTCGTTTTACCATATTCCATAATTTCCATTCCAAAGCTGAAACCTGGAAGAAAGGGTCTCTTGCACCTTGCACACCATTTACCATGCTTGGGCCTTATTTTAAGGCCCATCTAATGGTGTTTCTTGGGGATATGCATTTGAGATGATGATGATTGATCTTTATACACTTGCCTTTGATACAAGGTGGTCACAATAATCATGACCATTGGATGTGAAATTGAGTATCTGCAAGTATTCCATTGACCAAGCTCAAACTTCAAAGGAAATTTTCTCGAACTTTGTGACACATCCAAGCTATCAAATTTCATATCAAATGGGTGTAAGGAATTGTGACCACCTAGTATCAAAGGTAAATGGTCTCATTGTATACAATCCCTATATATATATATATATATATATATATATATGTTTACTTAGTCATGGAGAATATATTGATATTGATATATATATATTTTCTTTCTTTAGGAGGATACCCAAAAGGAAGCTGTGACTGCAACACATCTAATCAATATTTTGTCACTTGAAGAACCGATAAATCGTGACTCGGCACTAGATAAAGAGGGTGAAAAGGGAAAAGCCCAAGCAACCATAGGTTCATGCTACAGGCTCAAGACTGAGGTTTTCTTTTTCTTTTTGTTTTCTTTTTCCCTTCCTTTAGCTCAATGATTTGAGAAATTTTAAAAGCAAGATCTGTAAATTATTGTCTCGACGATAAACAAACAGAATGAATTGAAAATCAATTGTAGAAAAAATGAAGGCTTCATTCAAAACATCATATCGGCAAGTTGGGGAATTTTTGTAAAGTACAAAATTAAGGCAGATTGGAAAACCACAGGAGTTGGAACACTTGGGGTCTTCCTCGGTTTTGAGAGACCTGGTGTTGGCAAATCCCTCGTTTGATAACATGTTTGGATTTTTCGGACTGCAATGTCCGTCATTTGATTCAATCTGGAATTTTGGAAATGAGCTAATTTTAACTGTTCATTGAACAACGGAAAAAGTTTATCTTAGGTCTCAACCGTATAGTGTACAGTTAAGGTGCACCTAAAAAACCCACTAGTGAAGGTTGTTCTTATGCTGGAAAACTTTCAAATTGATCATCCCAATCTTAGATTTATGGACATGAAAAAAAAAAGGATTTCTCATCCTAAAAGTAATTTATTTTTTAATACATTATCTGGATCGTCCATTTTCAAGATTTTCAAGGGTTTATAGATCTGTTAGCTCGTCAGTACTTTTGGAATTTTAAATTTCATTACTGAGGTTCACAATAGATTTTCATATCATCGCAAGGCTTTGCGGCATCGAAACTGCATTTTCGACTTAGTTTTGAGGTGCCCCTTACTTCAATAGTATAAGGCTGACACCATATACAAACCTCACCCTTGAACAACTCATGAATTGATTGATATTTATTAAGCAAGATAGGTGATTTTTAGATGGTGGCCCAATCATTGGACTAACAAGATGGAACTGTTCATAGGACAACTTATTAAGAGGTTGATATTTATTCAGAACTAAAGGTGATTTTTAGGTGATTGCCCAATCATAGGACTAACAAGATGGATGGTTTTAGATCACCACAAAAGGGTTAAAGTTTGGTAGTACATTGCATTTGAATTATTTGTTTTTTTATTGTTGAATTAGTTTATTTCTGTCATAACTTATCCATAATAGTGCGGGCTCTTGTGAATATGGTTAGTTAAAGCTCCCTCTTATGAAATGCTTGCCCAAATGCTTAATTAAATAGAAATTCAAATTCTCATAAAAATTTCAAATTTCAGATCAGACATTGTATTCTCAAACTATACAATATACAACATTCTCATAAGGAGAAAATTTATATAAGGTTGCAACCTTAAAATGTAGAATTATAGATGCACCTCAAAAATCTATCGTAGAAGGTTGGTTTGACGTTGAAAAGCCCTCTAATTGATCATCTCGACATTGAGATGTATGAATATGAACAAAAAAGAAAAGATTTTGTGCATCTTGCAACATATAATCTAGACCGTCTATTTTCAAGATTTTCATATATTTATAGATCTACTTGTTTTTAACCATTTTTGAAATTTAAGATTTCATACTTAGATATAAAAATGGATATTCAGATAATCCTATCAAAATTACATGTGATAAATTTTGGAGGTGCTCATTAATTGGATTGTGTTAAATTTTGGAGGTGCTCCTTAATTGGATTGTGTTAAGGTTGCAACCTTATTGAAACCACACCCTTCTCACAATAGGCTCACTAATCATACAACTCTCATTAATCCCAGCACTCATGGCCAATGTGTCTTGAAGAGAACATCTACAATCAACATAATTTATCTCAAACAGTCAACCAGTATAACTGATTCCAACTGGCATAACTTATCTCAGCCAGCATAACTAATTTTAACTAGAATAAATTATCTCAACTAGCAGAACTGATTTTGATGAGCATAGCTAATTTCAACCAGTGTAATTCATTTTGATGAACATAACTAATCTCTTAACCAGCAAAATTGGTTCTCTTTTCATTCCGACTCAAATTATGATTTCAAATATTGCCCCATGATACTGGTGTCACTGATGCACCAATGATCACTCTCGTGAGCTGATTATTGTACAGATTTTAGCTTCGACTATATCTTTTCCTTTATAACCGCTTTCACACACTTAAAAGCAAAAAAGAGGAATAAGCAATGGTTT